TATCATAATAAACTAAACTATGTTTTTTAAAAAATGTGAGGGTGAGAGAGAGAGTGTGTGTGTGTGTGTGGGGGGGGGGGGGGGTAGGCATTTACAAATTAATCGGGTTGTATTTTCAATGGGTTTTTTCCCGACCAAATACTAAAATCAGTTTGCACATTTTGATAAATTCATCAAAAACGCTTTGTACTAAAATAATATTTTATGTCGTTGAGAAAGTAAATTTAAAAAGTTCCAAATTATGGGAAAATTATTTATTTGAATCTAATTAAGTAATTTACTTCAATCATTAATTAAATTCTGTTATTTCAGACTGGTTATGAATTAAGTATTTTAAAATACATAAGTGAGGCTCAGAGTTGATATGGTCATCTGAAAATTTTATGTTCAATTTGACGAATACATGTACGGTGATAATTATAGAATTATTTTGACTTCTTCCTTGGAAAGTCCAATATGAATGAGTGTATATTTAGAGGCAAACACCATAGTGCGGGTATTACTGTCTCATGACAGCATCTAGTTTACATTGCAATCATAAGTGATTTTATTTACATTATTCATAATACTCAGTTATAATTTTTTTTAATTGTCAATTCCCATTAATTAAAAAAAATCATATGCACGATTAATCGGGATATGTTTTGCACGTGCTAACAATATATTTATGATAAATGTGTTACACTGCCTTTGCATTTCTACAGACATTTTTTATTTAAATAATTTATTTGACGAAATGGTTTCACATCTAAACATTTTGAAAAGGAGCCTTTAAAAAAGAAGTAAATATTAAGAGAGAAAAGGAAAATACATTTTCGATGCGAGTTTCGATTCCAAAGAGACTGACTGAAACATTATATTAAATTAATCCAAGTGTTCCTAATTTCCTATTTATAAATGTCACAGAAGTATGTTGTTTGTTGATAACCATGATATCAAATGCCATTGCATTTATTTATCATTTAAACGCAAAGGTGATTTATAAATTATACACTTTGAGATGTTCCCCCTTATATAAAGTCCGAAGTCTGGAGTCAGTTGTCGACTGTACGCTATTTCGCAAATGTCCATTGGGACGATTAATATAAAGGCCGATATATTCCGTCGGCACACGAACAAAATCCGTAATTAATTACCCATGTCACCATTACAATTGCTTTTATTTCTTTAGTACTATGTAAAACATTAAACTCAAATTTAAATTAGTGAAACCGGAATCCAAATCTTGATAACCTGTCAAATTTTCATATAAATAGCATCATCGACAGACGATTGGTGTCAGGATTTTCAAGGTGTTACTGGAATCGAGTTTGATAAAAATGACGTCGCTAATCGCGTAAACGGCGCACGGAGATGAAATAAATTGTTATGGATAAGGTTTATAGACATCAGGGACAGGAAAAAAGAGTACGTAAGTGACATTACACACTAGATTTGAATATTTAAAAAAGTTGATTTGAATGGTATGAGATACAATGATAGTTTTTTCTCTATACCGAAAATAGTTACAGCATGTAAGAACTCAAGTACTATTCGTTTAAAGCATACCGTTGGGAACATTCTGTTCACAAACGACGTCAAAAAATTGTATTCTCCGGTGCGGACAATATAAGGTGATCTTTCGGCTAAATTTCTACTGGAATATGAATCTGCTAAAAAAAAAAAAAGAAGAAGAAAAACGGACAGTACTCAATTAAAATAAGTCACATTTTCAAGAGTAGTTTTCACTTAAAAAAATACTGGGTGTAAAGAGACGCGTTTGAAGCGGAAAAAGAGATTATTACGTTATAAGAAATGTAAAATATGCTTGCTTTCTTGCATCGATGTACACATGCATACTTAATTTTTTTTTCTTAATAAATGTGATATCATCAGAAAACCTGAAAATCATGATCATGAAACGTTGCTATTTACTATGACAAGAAAATAAATTCAATTGAGCAAAGGAAAAATTGACTGCTTTCTCGGTCTACGACGTTTTGGGACAACACTCGTGGTCTCAAACGTGTTTTAAAATTATGACATATAATCTTCATGTCGCCCACATGGCGCAGTGGTTAGAACGTGAGCTCTAGAGTGAGAAGTAATAAGTCTTTTCTAAGGTCGCGGGTTCGAATCCTCTAAGCAACATGGAGACCGGTCCTTCAGATGAGACCCTATAAACCGATTTCAAGTGTAGCAGTAGGTGCTTGAAGGAGAAAAGAATCCCTCGCTGCTCAAAGGCCATAAATGCCGAGAACAGGTATGAATTTGCAGCCCTCCAGCAGGAATTGGTGGCATCTCAAAATGAATAAAAAAAATATCGAAGGAACGTAAAACTGCAAACAAAGGCATTTTTTTTTCCTTAATATCTAAAAAGTATTCTAAATTGAGTAGTCAATTAAACTACGATGAGCTAAAATTTAATATTCATATATTTCATTTCAATTATCATTCTACACATTAAATCAAAATATTGAGCTTGAGCAGACCTTTGCTCGGTGACTTTTATTCAAAATTTCGACGTAATATATACATTTTTCTGTAAAATTCATGGAAATTTTAAATTCACGTCATTTTCCTGATGTCATTTCAAAGTCCTTTAAAGAAATCAGAAAGCCTGGAATGGAGTACATTATATCAATTTATCAAATGATTAATTAATGATAAAAAAAAATGCTGAGGTTGTATAAAGCGTCCAACTTTAAGCAGTACCAAAATACGATCTTAAATATATGTTCTTAAAATCAAATTTTTAGAAAATATATTTTTAATAATTTTGATATTTTTTTTTTTATTCACGAAATACATTTCAAAGCAAAAACGCTCTGTACAAAACAACATAATTGAATCTGAGTTTGTAATTTTTAAGAAAAGAATTTGGCAGATACTTTCAGGAAGAACAGCAAAAACAGAAAATAAAGAAAAGAGTTACATGAGTCACAACGCTGACCTAGTAAATATGGCACTGCTGTTTTTCATAAGCAGATACTATATTCCCAAGTAAAACATTACACGTAGGTCTTATTATGACCCCGTCCCACCACTAGGTGTCATGAATTTTAATAAAGGAAGCCCCACCTCTCCTGCAGGATCAGGATTTGAAAAAATGAATATATGGGCCATTTTCAAAAAAAGTCCACTTTTTTGTCTTTTGATCAGAATAATAGGAAAACATTTTTTAGAGTGAAATTTTTTTTCCCGTTGGTTAGTATACATGGTCATACAGCTTATAAGTAATTTTATGATCATCTCCCAGGTGTTTTATAAAAAATATTCTCTGCATTCCGAGTAAAATTTAACAGTAAAACCATGTCACATTAACAAAAATTTTATAACGCGCTTATTTAAATGATAGGGAAAATATTTCCCTGTGAAGATATGTACAAATTTTGCACCTCATTTTAATTGAATTCATTTACAGATTAATTTAATATGATTGTTTTACTTATGCCGCCCACTAAATACTAGTATCGTGCATTTAACATTCAGGAAGTGACATGTCCCACCAGTTTATGTCATTCCTGTTATCAGAAAGAAAATGTTAAAATAAAAGTTATCTCACTTTCCTAGGAACTGTTTTCATGATCCACAATATATCATCATTTTCTGTTGTCTCAAATTTATGAGCGCCATGATTTGAAAGTGAGTAAAGAAAGGGTTCAAAGGTCGATAAGTTTGTCTTATTGGTAGAGTATAATGAAAATATGTCCTATCTGTTACCTTCATAATATGCAAATACTCTTTAAATTGTTTATTCTGCTAAAACAATCAGATTTACTAAGTTACAAAGAAACTGTTTCAATGTCTTGATGATGCAAAAAGAGTACGTTATACTAAATAACCGGTGATTTATATGAGAAATGTCCATCCTGTTACTGTCATTCCTGTTACCATTAATATGGTAACAGTAAGGAAAACTTGACTTCATATCTTGAGTTTTAACAATAAAAACAATTACTTTTATTTTTCTAAGTAATATAAGTTTAATAACACATGTTAAAAAACTTCGTAAATCATATTGAAATAAGTTAGTGCTTCAAATTGTGCCATTATAACTTAAACATGCACTCTTGTAACAGAATGGACAAAAATTGCAACAGGAGGGACAAATTATCCTGGTATTTATATACCTATTTAAGTTTCATCATTTGTTTTTCTTAAAATTTTGAAAAATTCTAGTTTTGCAACAGCATAGAGTACCTTTAATAAACAAAAATTGAACTGATAAATATTTTAATAGCACTTTAGAATTAAATTTCGTAACAGGATGGACATAAATGTCTTTTATTGTCTCAAATTTGCCAGATTTGACAAAATCATTTTTTTATTCTACATTTATTTCTCTTTTCCTAACCAATAAAGTTTAAAAAAAGTCAATTTTTATTTAAAATGTAGATTTCATTGTCCATCCTGTTACACTGTTTTGTCCATCCTGTTACTGTTTTGTCCTTCCTGTTACCCGAGTCCTTACTGTTACCAGTATATTTTCCTAGTTTAAATTGCTTTGGCAGAGCACCTGTTTAAATAACTTTCTGTAACTGTTTATTCTAATCACAAAAATAATGTACAAGAATGTTTTTTTCAACTATAGCATATAAACATTCAGCAATAAGGCTTTTCATGAAGAAAAACCCGTAGATTTTGCTTCTGTTTGGTATATGGTAGTTTGACATGCTTTTAAACGCTCATATAATATAGATGAATGTCAAACATCTTGGCATTCAATGATAATTTTTTCATTTATTAACGGTATACAAAAGATAATTTGATGAAAATTTTGAAATAGAGTTTTACAGCTCTTTTTATGAAAGTAACAGGAAGGACATTAAAGTTTAAATGACTAAGATAAAATGTCAATATTTTTTAAAAGAAATATTTTCTTTTATGCAATGCAGTGGATTTTAGTAGTTTATTACTATATTATTCAAGTAAAGTTGAAAAAATCATAGTAAAACCACTTTCATTTTTCAAAATATGTCATTCAAAAAATAGACTTTTTTTGAAAATGACCCATATACGTCAAGAAACTTCTAAATCAATGCAACTAATCATTGCTTTTAGCCTTTCTAGAGAAGAAGATTTTAGAGATTCTTTAACTTTCCACCCCATGTTAAACTCAAATAGTGCTTTATGGCACCATCCTACTCTTGTTGCTGTGATTTGAACAAACATGATTCTACCTTAAGAAAAAGATGTTTCCATATTAGTAATATGACTAAACATTGCTGTGTGATATGATAAGAAAATATAACATGATCTTTCAGCTCAGGTGAAATGAAATTAGGTTGGTAATGAACCGACCTTCACAAAAAGGAGGAAAGCATAAGTAAAAAGGGAAAGTATAATTAAGCATTTTACATGTACATTGAGTATAAGATTATGACTAAGTGTTTGACTTACTTTTAAAACATATAAGAATCCAGAGTATTTTAAAAACAATACTGAGATCGAAATTGACTTTCGTTTCATAGTAAAATATAAATCGATGTCAAATGTAAATAAGTTCACAATGGCAATAATACATGTAAATGAACAATGATATAAAATAGTTTAATAAAAAGAAATATATAATCGTTTTCTTTTAAATCAAAATGGTTCAAATAACCAGGCTTTTTGTTAAGCCAAAGTGCACATATTTCTCTTGAAATGGTCGATCTGAATCATCTATTTCCAAGATTATCTGGTCTTCAGCTATTTCAATGGTTGTTCCTCAGAAATCATGTCCTCACTTGACTGTTAAGAAAATAAAGTGCACAAAATGAATTAATTAACTGGTTTTTAAATACACTTTTAGTTAATTCTTACTTTTTGATGTTATCTTTATAAAAAATGTACAACAAATTCACAGAATTTAAATTCAACTGAAATTACTCCTGATATTTCAGTTAAAGAAGCTGTCTGGCTCGGAATTTATGAGGCTGGCTTTGATCTCACTATCATATTACGATTCGTCATTTTCCCGCAAAACATAACACAAATGGAATAAGGTATCATAAAATATGGATGTAACGAACATTGCAACAATGCAAATTGGAAACAAAGCAAAAACGACTTCCAAAACCAGTCGTGTGGCCATGGAGGACTGAACACCCCTGAACCGACCCGTAATACCTGCTGTATTCTTCTTATGGTCGAAAAATTCGGAAAAATCCATAGACATTTCATAATGTAAATAGTATATGAATGAAAGTAACTATTGATTATTAAGAATAACTCTTATATATATCTATATGTTGAGTTGAAGTCCACAGCAAATGTATTCGTTTAATTTAACCACTTATTGGAAGATTATTGACTTTGGTAATCTGGCATGCACATCATCATTTAATTCAACATCCATCTTTGATTACAATCAAGCGAAATCAAATACACTCTCAAGTTATCTAAAACCATTGAATCCGTGTTTAAAGTTAAACACAGAAGACATTATAATTATTAAAGTGTTACACCTAAAGCGCTTAGACGCAGTCTTTTCACATGGTTGTAATAAACATTTTGTTTAATAAATGAATTTCTCGTCTTCTTTAAAACCCGAAATGTACTTGGAAAAGTCATAGTATTACACGAGTACAAAAAAATTTATGAGAATATGATTTATCTAGGGAAATATTGTTTGAAGTAATAAAAATCATATAACACAGACAATTAACTTTCATGAAGATCAAGTTTGTTTCCTGAAAGTATAACTGACGCTACTACTACTACTATATCAACCAAATTTTGAAAATTTAGCAGAATGAAATGGAACCGATAACGAATGTAACTACAAAGGAATAAAATCCACTTGTAATCCTACTAAATAATATGGGAAAGTATAAATGGATTATGATCTCTAATGCATTCGTTCATTTTTTATTAAAAAAAACTCGACATTTTCAGACTTCCTTCTCTTATGGAGGAATATACCCTCCTCACCTGCATACATGTATTTTATCTCTCAGTTTATAAGATACACAAGATCATGCTCTACGTATGTACAATTTTGAAAAGAAGTTACTTTTTAACAAACAAGTTGATGAAACAGGAATTTCGGCAGTCTTGTTTACAGTCATTATTTCGTAAGTTCTATGTTCCATGCAATGACCTTGTCAGCAAATACAATTTATTATTAAGTTAAATGCTGACTGATTTTATTCATACTTATTGTTAGGTTGTTATATTAATGCTGAATTGTCGATGGATTTTCCGTTATTTCCCGATCACGACAGGGAGCACTCGAGGGAGGGGGAACGGTAGGCAGGTGATGCTTAAACCTCCATGGCACCTGATCCAACCTCTGATGTTTTGATGTCCGTGTTTGTTCTACTCCAATTTTGTATTGCTTTATGGACTTTTGAGTTTGAATACTGTTTGTTATCTCCATATATTTCATATTCAAGTAGCTTAAGATCTGTATGTGACTTTTCATGAAAGATTACACATGTTACTAGCATACCTTGTACCAGTATTGCAGCAAGTTGTCACGATGGATATTGTGCTTTTCGTGATTCTCCTTGTAGGAATTTAAACAAAGTCTTTCGTTCGATTTTAGTTTTGCAACTTCTTCCTCATTTAAAAAATAATCTTCGTCCTCATCAGTAAGATCTATATCCTTGCATGCGTATCCAGTTTCGTAGACTACCTGTTGATGAAACGTTTGTGTAAGTTCCTTAATTATGTTCTCTACATGTTTTCTGATTTCTTTTGTTTTGCTTTCAGAGAGATGAATGTCTGCACCCGGTGAAAATACTTGCAGCTGTAGGGATGATTTATTTACAGCAATAGCAATATTATGATCACCACCTTCCGGCATATAAAATGCAGTATTTTTGCAAAAAAGATCATCACTCAATGCCCGCCACTTTGAAAAACACTTGACGACAAGTCTATAAAAAAAGAAATGTGGAAGATAAGTTTTGAAATAAAATACCAAAATCGGGGTCTTTTTTCCTTCGCTGATTAAAGCTTTACGATCTTCTGTAAAGTCGGTTTTGTTAATACTTGGGATATAGTAAATGGATTCTTCATTGTATGGTGAGGCATGACTTGATTTCATTTTCTTCAATTCTGGTTCACAAACTTTTGCAAGAATTCCAAGTTTTTCCATATATGGCATGATTTCGTCCTTATGAGTAACATACGACTCATTTTTATTTTTTATCCATACCTTGCAAAGTGTTGAATCTGATATTCGTCCAGTTTTCATGAAAACTTCCCATTCATTGAATTTTGCGCAGAATGGACGGGCATGAGAAGGATCTGTTATTATATTTTTAAAAGCATCAACAAACCACTGTACGTCCAAAATGATAGTATCTTTAAGGCCCTCATCTAAAAAGTAAATGATGTAACCGATCTCATGATAAAATCGGAGCATATCGTCGATGTCACTGTCACCCAAGGATTGGAATTCGCTTATCTCTCCCAATTTCTTTCTTTTCAATATTCGTTTTTTCTTATTTGCCCATACACACGTATGTTGTTCGAATATTGACCATTTGACGGGTATTTTCTCACCCCACTGTGGTAGGTTTGTAGCAGTCTCCACGATGCATCTTCTGACTTCTTCTATAACTTTCTCTTGACATTTTCTGAGCTTACCTTTGGGACATGCAATTTCAAAGTAACGTTTAGGGGATAAGTGGTCTTTTAGTGTTTGTTCTTTTGGCAAACAGCGTTCTAACTCGTCGTAAAAATATAAGTTTTGTGAGCTAGACAAAGATGTTCTTTCTTGCTTGGACTGAAATATGAAAGGTTCAAAATAAACAAATAAACAATATTCCATAAATAGATTGTTTGCCTGTAATATATAAAGAGGGGACAAATTAACTGTGTGTTCATCTAAGTCGATGAGCAATGTGACCAGTTTGATAAAATGTGGTCATCTAATTTATCAGACATTAAAACGATAAAAAGCCAATATTGGCAGAGCAGTGAATCTTAATCTACTAAAATTATAGTATTCAGTTACATCTAATATAATACGAAGGTTGTTTCGAATGAACTCTTACTTTTTTTAATGCTTATGTTCACTAAACCTGTAAAGTTAAAGGTTATTGGCATACATCATCGCTATTTAACATCCTTTAAATGCCGTTTTATATGCATATGACATCGCAGGTATATCATTGTTTGTAAAAATTACATAAGCTACATGAAACATATTGAGATAACGAACAGTACTCAAGCATATGAAGAATAATTTGTTTATGTTGAATAGTATTTGAAATATTTCCTAGGACAACACTCGTTCAATATAATATAATTTAATTTAATATAAAATATTTGCTTTATACTTTTTTGTAAGATACAATATCTAAGGAATAAAGTATGTGTTTTCTTGAATGTTTCAGGATAACCTCCGAGGCCGAGAAGTAAGCCGAAGCTTTTATATATCAAATGACATTTTGAGACAGAGGATGTTATACTTCATCTTTTGAGACAACAATAAATTTATATTCAAGTCTATCAAGAGCTCTAAAATACGACTGATCGTTTCTTTTATAGAAAAACAAATAAAAGTTCATGATTTTGATGTTTGTTTTTCAACATCGATCATCTAATTCACGTGATTTAGGAATTAAAAATGGCCGTCAGTTAAAGAAAAACTGAGGGTGGGTCTATTCAAATCAAGTTTCTTTGTATGTTTCTGAATGTAGATGATCAAAAATTGTTTATTTATGTCGGAAATCACCAGACATAAGAAATAAATTGAAAAATTTTATAAATTTAAGGTTCAAGATATTTTTTTATGACAAGAATTCCGATGCATCCACATTTTGCTTATTTTGAATGTAAATTTTTACGAAATTCAAACTGTATGATGCTGAAAAAAGTTTAATCAGAATTTAATTAAAAGTATTATATCATATATAAGTATATTGTAATTGAATATCATTTCTATAGATGTATTATTTTACGCATAAAATAAGCATTTTAGAAATGTTTCTATTGAACTATAAAAGTTATGTATCAAATGTTAAAAGCACTGAATGGATTTTGATTGTGATTAAATAAAACTGAAGTAGTAATTAAGAAAAGAAATTCAACAATTGCCAAAAAATAGAGAATTAACAGCATTAAAACATCAATGCAAGTACAGGTTGACTATCCATATACATGTAAATAGTCAATACATATACATGTAACTCAGAGCGCTTGCATTAAAATATACATCTCTTAGTGAAATAAAATATCGTCGTAAAATGGCTTTACTTTTATTTAATTACTCGTGTTGCACGATATATTTAATTAAAAATGTCACCTAAACTTTATGTATTTACATGTATAAAAGTTGAGATCCCCCCCCCCCCCCTCCCGTTTCTAACGGCACAACATAAAAACGGAGTAGAATTTTAACAGTTCCTTCAACTATGCATATCAGAAGTTTTCGTATATCATGTATATACTAGTATACGGACTTAAGATTTCTACAACATCCCAGGTACAAATGGGACCCTAAGGGTTTGATGCTCCTTTCGCACTCTTGAAACCCATAGGTTAAATTCAGTCTCTTTCCCAGCGCAGCGTCAAAAACTTGTTTAACACGGATAGGGACAGTTTCTACCTAAGTCTTTAGCATTTAAAGTAAATGTCACGAGTCTTTAGGATATTATCTTTAAAAAAAAGTCCCGTCCCGCGTTAGGCGTTGGTAAGTAATGTAACTATGCATAAACACTTGACCTTAAGTGGATGATCTCTTTATCTGGTTGAAAAATCCTTAAATGGGGTAAAGCAACATTCAATTATAAATCAAATCTTACATATAGGAATCCCTTTCCTCCTTACCAGTTTATTTTCTAAGACAGCACAACTGTTCTCGTAACCTATACCTATGCTATCAAAGAAATGTGATGAATAGATCGAGTCCTCTCAATTAAGACCCATGCAGTTAACAAAATATGGATCACATGTTACTCGTACTGAAGTGTCCATATAAAATTTATATGTGTACCCACAGGAAAAAATGTCTATAACACAAATAGAAAATGCATTTTACCGCTTCTTGCAACAAAGATAGATTTTATCATTTCTAGTACATATACAGTACTCATAAGGAAATACAAAGAATATATGCAATATTCATAACGGAATTCAAAGAAGTAGCATATAGAGATAAACTAAACTATCATTATAAATATAAAAGATAACTCACATTCACACTTTAAAGCCTATAAAAAGTATTTATTTCTTAATTTTTATCAGACATTTCAAAGAAACGTCTCCACTTGTAATTTCATGACATCCAGTCTTCTCAGTCCTTTGATTTTAGATTTTTTAAGTAAAAATTTCACATTTATTTTAAGTAGATATGCACGGCTGATATAAATCTTAGTAAATCAACAAAAAATTCTACTCAAACCAAAAGTTCATACTAAGAAATAATCTTCATAAGCTGATATCCTTCATTGTGCGTAGTTAGCCTTTTCTGTAAATATCGTAAAAATGAAGCGAAAAGTTTTTATTTGGATGCCATAACCACCTTTAACCAAATTCATAATTTGGTAGCCACTTTTTATGCTTATTAGAAATTTACATGCAAATTTGGTGTTGGTTAAAGGTGGTTATGACATGCGTAGAAGTTATCTTACCCAGCCACCCTCTGGAGTTTTTCCATTACTCTAATGCTAATACGGATCGATAGTACCTTACTTTGTGACCCTATATCATTAAAAATACTATTATATCATTAACCAACCAATATTTATCATTGAATTGGAACATAAGCCTAATGATTCATGCAATTTTTAAGGGAAAAAATACTATTTGAAAATTTGAAGTCATTGTAGGCCGCAAAACGGCCTTATAAAGAATGATCCTTTGTTTGTTTACCACGTATGGAAGGCCGACGATTTGACTTTCGCTGCATTAAAAATAGCCTTTTCTCTACCATAAACTTGATTTCACCATAGATTTATAATTTTATGAATGTAAAATAACAAATCAGTTTTCTATTTCATTGCTTTATCTTTAATTAACGAAGTTAAAATGTGGCTTAGGAATGTCCGTTGAACAGCCCTGCTAAGCTACATGTATAAAACCCCTATTCACCAGTTATTTTATGCAATATACAAAGTGTTTCGATTCTTACAAACGACCCATCGATGTGTCTGACTAATAATTTCATTTTAGAGCCAAATATTTTATTTCAACTGTATATGTTTAATACGTGCTTCTGATCTGATAATTTTTTTGATTACATTGTGATTTTATTGGAGAATAATGTCCGCGGCATTTCTTAGATCTCGGCAATAGTCGTGGTAGAATTCAGGATAATCAGAAACTTACAAAGCAATAATCTGTTTTATGCATATATAATATAAAATAGGAAATCATTTTTACATAATACATAGTACATTGTACCTTTATAAGGTCTTGATGGGAGGCTATAAGAATAACAGGATTGGCTCCACATTGGTCTCCATACTTTTTCTTCAATTCTTCGTCATCACAGTAAGTTCTTATCGATTGAAGCCAAAATACAAAGTATGCTAAAATGACAATAAAAATGATAAACATTTTCAATGAATGATATCTTATAAAATATGCACTTGGAGAAGACAACTAAGTATTCATGATAGAAATTGTAAATATTACCACAATCATAATGACTTATTGAGAATAAATCATGCATCAGACCATATAATGTATCTGACAACTCTTATGACTCTCTGCAAATTGAATCAACCTTCTACGAATTTCGATTAAATGAGTGTTATGTTTAAAGACAATATATCCAAATGACATACATGTATAGTATATAAATGAATTTCCTTATAATAAGGGGGTATTTTATACATGTAAGGACGTTGGTAATAGAATACGACTTTCACATGACATGTGGAAAAGTACAATTGAGCTCGGACTCAGTTCATTTAACATTACACAATAGGACAAGAGCAAACACGGACCTTCAAAACACCAGAGGTGGGATCAGGTGCGATGGAGGAGTGAGCATCCCCTGTCTATCGGTCACAGCTACTGTAAATGTTCGGGGAAAAAGAAAAAATCCGTGGTGACCAGTGTGTGAATATTAGCCTAATAATTAGTATTAAAAAAGTAAGTCAGCATTTGACTTGAAGATAGATTGTATTTGCTAATACCATCGTCCATAAAATTAACGAAATGATGACTTTAAACGAAACTGTTGATATTTTTTTAAGAACTTATTGAACTTTTAAGCAACATACACTTAATGTTCAAGTCATAGAATATGACGTTACCATTTCTCCGCAATCACTTTTTTAGCGCAGTACAAGTTTCTCTAAAGTAAAGCGTAAATACTATTATGACGTAATATTTTTACAAGAAAATAACTTTTCTTAGTTTATGAGAATTAAACAAGTATAAAATCGGCACTGCGAGGCAGGGGATTAAGTCAGAATGTTGATATTCTCCCTTCATCAAACCGTGTGTCAAATAAAAAAAGTTTGTAGATAGATATAGAGATAGAAATTTCTGTTTTAGAACATGCTGCTCCTGTTTTTCTGTATGGAATCAACTAAGAAATATAAACTCGTTCGTATAAAGGTGAGAAGGGTTTATTGTTGCATGGGTAAGGAAAGTAGACGACTGAGCAGTTAAAGTCATGTTTATGACATAAACCTTTGTTTTATATAACCATTAACGTCTCCTTCTAGTAAAATATCTAAATGTCAAGTAGGTTTTTGTGACTCGTGGTTTCTTTTATTTCAAACGCACCGGGATATACCGTATCCACATAAGAATGAAAATAACGTTACTGTGGTTGTTAATTTACAATACATAATACCTTCATACGTCCAGTTTTCAAACAACGACCCCATAGGATTATGACGGTTTTTTAAGTGTGGTTTATCTTTTAAGTCCTTTGACATATCTACTACAAGTATGTAGAAAGCTCTTCTTGAAAGATAAATCTGATGGCAGGCGTAGTAGGCAACTTGTCCAGCAAAATCCGTTATACTCAGGAGTTTTTTGTCCTCGTGCAAATTCACTTGATACCCGTCAATTTCTTTCTGAGCATGAAAATCTTAAATGAAGAGATGAATCATTCAATAAACAAAAACAAACTCAATTATTTTAAAGTAAACTCTCATATCGAATTCCTCTGAAAATCTAGAAATAAATGGAATTACTTTTTTGCTGCATTCCTTTGAAAAAGTGCAAAATGAGAAAAAAAAATCATATACCCTGAAGTGTGTTATTTTCAATCAAAAATATATTCTGATGAACTTCAAGTCCTATTGTTGTTGGTGTATCTTTGTGAAAATCCTTTCTGTCTTGACGCTGTAGACGTCTCAACAGAGTTGTCTTTCCTGAACCGGCACACCCTACAATCATACCTCTAGCGCGATGCATTTCAATGTTTCCAGCTTTGAAGTTTACAATATATCTCTGTCTCCCTTCTTCGGGCCATTTCATTACTTCTTCGGGGATATGCACTGAAAACAAAATCATTCAAGATATGCGTTTGGAGAGATAATAGCTCACGAGGAACCGTTTCTATCTGCTCTAAAAATATAGTAACTTACGATATGTGCAGATATCTTTATGGATTAAAATATCACTAAATGTTTTGTGAGTCAAGATATCTATGCCCAGTTTTCGTATCAGATTTTCATTGTATTCCAAAGGCAAGCAAATACACATCTCATTTTCCTCCGCTTTATATCCCTCAGATCTAAAGTATTTTGCTAAACATTTAGGCGTGTCCTTTCCCGCCATGAATGAATAGTAAACAGCACATTGCAAAAGAGAGCTCTGCTTTTGATCGAATTTATCTGAAAAAAATATATATGTCATTATAGTAGATACATGTGAAAATGGATACATGATACTTAATTAACATTAAGGTAAAGTCTTTCGTAATTATCCTAAGCTTATTTGCAGTTAACGTTAGATGAAACATTTTTAAGCTATAATACATATTTTTAACAAGCTTTATTCAAAAATATGCATTATAAAATCACATATTTTCGAGAGGTCAATTTTTTGTGTTTTAAGGAAAAAATATTGGATTATGGGGATTTGATTTTGTGGTTGATAAATTGTTCAGTAGTAATATAGGTGAAAAAATTGCATTTCGTGGTGGACATAAATTGGTGGGTCCCTCCATACCTTGAAAACCATGAAAATTAACCCCCCCCCCCACGAAAATAAGTGATTTCACAGTATGTTTTTTTCCTGGATCAACGTCAGATTCAAAATCTGTTTCTATAAATCTGACTGAGAAGAATAATGACATCTTAAATATATAATAATCAATTGCAAAAGATTTTTTTCTTATCTAAACTTAAATACGATTATATATTGATCTTTAGTTCCTCAAAATCAAAACAAGTGAAGTTTACGAATAGTTATAGATATCAAAAGAAATTTATCAAATGATCTAAGGAAGAGTTTGTTTTATTATTTTTTGACACTCCAGAATGTGCAAATACATATATAGATTGGCCGTTTCTTAGTATGATAGACAAAGCACTTGACTATTTTGCTAACCGGTATTTCTTTAAAAAAAATATTTTCTGAATTGATTCTTTGGACGGAAACTTACAGTCTTCTTTCTTCATCTCCAAAAGTTTATATTTCTCCTCTTTGGACAAAGCCTGTGTATCTGATTGTCTGACGTACTGCTCAATTAGAGATTCTCGGAAGTTTTCACATAGCATATCACATAAAACAACACATATTTCATTTTTTTGTCTTTCATAATCTGGCGTTCTGAAATAGTTTTGAACAATAGGTCCACTCTGTCTCTTAAACAACCACATTATTGTCTCAAATGTATTGTTGTTTTGCATTAGAGCCCACACAGTTTGTAATTCCACATCCATATTTAGAAAAGAAACTCCTTCTTCATCAACATGTAAACTTTGGTCAGATAATTCAGTAGCAATTCTTTGATATTCTTCCACTGATATTAATTGTTTGTGTTTCATTAGCTTTCTTATGTCATCCAAAAGACTGATATGCGCTTCGTTATTCCATATAATGTTCCCTCTTTCACTCAAAAGGATTCCAAAATGCAGAAGGCGACGAAAATCATCATCTTCAAACTGTCCAAAAAGTTCTAAATTAACTGAAAAGAGATACATATGATATGTGGATTATGACTGTATTAACATAGATGTAAATTGAATTCATTCACAAGATCAGTTTTGTGAATTGTGCATTCTGATTGCATGAACACTAGATGTTATTGTATAAAGGAATTTTTTAGCCCCGTTTAAATTTATTCCTTTTTCACCTTGTCCCTAGTGGGGAAATAAAACGGAGAGAATGCAAAGAACACAGTAAAAGTTCTTAAACAGAACTACATGTATGACTGGGTGACTTTAAAATGGAGCAAATATTAGGCAAGTGCATAAGGGCGAAAATAACATGGGGCGAAATAACCCTACATACAGTAAAAAAAAAATATTTATACCAGCATAGAGATACAATTTTTAACAAATGTTTATTTATAATTTCTAAGTACATATTTATAATTCTATTTGTGTTTTACAATAAAGAATTAAAATTCCCCGTCTTACATACTTCAAATATGTATTTTTTGTGGCAAGACCTTCCATTGGATACCAATTACCTTGATCTTTTGACCTTGATCTGGGAGATTTATGAACTTATGAAAAACCTTAATCTTGGCCTATTTTCTTATTTCACAATAGTATTTCCAGTGAGAATACCCTACTAATGGTTCCAATGTATTAAATTTACATTTAAGAAACGTTTAGTCTTCGCTATATTCTCATACAGGGACATCAGTGTTTCACGGACACATCTTGTTAATACTGGGATGTTCACGCTGTATGGCCATCGGCGTGCGATCAAAAAGTCAGAGTTTTATCATGAAATGTATAAAAGGTTTATATCGAAATTAAAGTTTAAAATAAAGATAAAGTTCAATCATTTTTAAGTCCCATTTTATCATTTCTACATTTTGAAAAAAAAATATTAATTTTTTCCCAGCTTTCCGAAAGAGTGTAAAAAACAGCACACGAAAGATAGTGACGTTTGATCACGTAACGGTGCATCGGAGAGCAATTCAGTTGATTGAATAACAACAGCTTAAAGTATTTAAATGAAAGCAAAATATAACAAAATACATAAATGTCCCAAATGCATAAGAATCAAAGTGTAAGTGGCATATCTCAGACGGGGGAATTTTTATCGAGTCCTTCGGGAGATCAAAACATAAAGACAATCAGTTATTGGCAATGACAATTGACGCCAATTTAGTTACGTGAAGGTGAAAGTACTGTTATTACCATAACGTACCAATACATGTTTTTTATAAGGTCCCATGTATTTCCAAGATCGGTCCTTAAGCTGTTTATGGAGCAAGAAAGGGCCCAAAGTTTTAAGCAAAGAAGAATCGTAACATTGCCTTAAAAATGTTGACGTTATTATCCCATCACCGTAAGCAAAACCACACATAACATACACATGTAAATATACTAAAGACTTCGGAAAGATTTAGAAAGCAGTGTTGATTATTCTTCACTCTTGACTACTTGACCAGGATTTTAATGGACAACCTCCGTACATAAACATTTCAAGGGATAGTATAAAATGCAATATCTTACCATTACTGATGATATCTGTAGATTCCTCCTTCTCTATCACAACCAAATTGTAACTTCTATTAACAGGAAAAATAGGAAAGATGATATTCTCCATTTTGTGAACTTTCTCTGCTTGCGTTTTGTCTTTTTCAACTTTTATCTTTGGTCCAATTAGTTTTAATGATTCAAAATCTATTCATAAAAAGAAAAAAAAAAAAAATATATATATATATATATATATATATATATATATATATATATATATATATATATATATATATATACAAACAGAATAAGACAAAGAATATTTGTCCTTTAAAGAAGTATATGCAGTATATTGCATATATTTGCCCCCACAAAAGTCAAATTTTGAAAACTTCCTGAAATGTGATGAATTCAATAAATTGTATGAGAAATATAAATTAACAGAAAATATTATAGTGTCAAAGCAGTGTATTCACAATTTTTGTTTTTATGACGTCACAAACTAGTCCGATTTTATATCCTTTTTCAGAAAAAGGACAAAATGGACAAAATTTCAACAAGTTTAGCTTTAAAATTTATAGAGCGTAAGTTTGTTCAGGAACAATATTGACATATTTCATTGATATTATCATTCTACACATTATATCAAAATATTATCCTGAACACACATGCGCTCGGTGAGTTTTACTCAAAATATTGACGAAATATGTACAATTTTCTGTAAAATTCATAAAAAACTGAAATTTACGTCATGTTTGTGACGTCATTACTTACATATGGCTTCATTACTTATGAAAATATTCAGTGCTTTGAAGTCAGCATATACTCCCCTGTTTAAGTACTTAATTAAATATATCTCCATCAAAGTTTGATTTGGGGGGCAAATATTGGTTATTACCGAATAAAGTTCTTTAATAAGAATGAATTTAAAATTATGATTAAGCATGTTTCCTTTATTCGTAAATTTCAGAAAGTTATCTTAAAAAGGCACTTTATTTCCGTATTTCATTTCACTTACGAATTTTTGTTTTATGGATCTCAATTGTATTTCCAGTTTCTTCTGCCCTCCATGAAGCATGATATGAACCAGAATCCCTAAGTGTTAATTGGAAAATATAGAGAAATAAATAGTTTTTATTTGCATCAACTTCTGACAGATATTTGTCTGCATCTTTGGAGACATCTATTTCTTTGTCGTCCTTGTACCATTTAACATCAACAGGTGTATTAGTTGTAGTCACGCGTATTCTCAGATTATTTCCATATTGTCGCACTAAAACTTCATAAACCTTTCTGCCATCTCCTTAAATGAGGTTAAATACAATCAGAATAAATATACACGTTTATACATTTGAATTTATAAGGTGTACATATTTATATAACTAGATCGAGTGAAAAGGCTTTTTATCTTAAAATATATTCACAAAAGCAGAAAAGCTGATTATTGACACTATATCTATTATAGATGTTTTGTAAAACTCTGCTTCCCTTTCCCATTTCCAATGATAACCAATAAGATTTAGTGATTTCAAAATTACGTTCAATGAACATGCTGTAGGATGGCGAAAGGTTACCAGAGTCAGATATACGGGACGCTTACAGTGTAATATTTTCAAATATTTCGAACACGATCAAATTTCTTTCGAGGAATTGTCAACATAAACGGTGCTATGTCATCAAGTTATACGTCATTTATTTGAATAAAAAAATATTCATGTAGTTTCGCTGGGGGAAGTCTCAAAGTAAAATGAAAGTCGTATGAGATATATAGAACATCTATAATTGTGTGATTTGATATTGACTCTATACAACTCGTTGAAATGGTGTATATTTCCTCGGCAAGCCTCGCAAATATACATATATATATACCATTTTAACTCGTTGGATAAAGTCAATATCAAATTACACAAAATATATATATATATCCTCTATATATTTGGCGTAAACTTTGTTATTTAGTTCAACGATTGGTCAATTGCTCATGGTACAATGAAGCGTTTGAATAAAATGTTCTGGGTGATTCTGATCGAAAATCATTTGTTACATAATGACACGTCCTTTTCTTTAGAAACGGAAAATAAAATTCGCTGCAATGCTTTATGACGTTACGTTCTTTGAGACTATGAACGTGAAGAACACTAAAATGGATATTTTAAAAAGTTAGAAAAGAGATCAAGGGACGTCCCAATTCTATAATAGGTGTGGATAAAAAAAAGTGCAACATTCTGGTGTCAAATTTTATATAGAAAAAACACAGACCTGTCAATTGGAATGAGACATCAAATTACATGCATAGTTCACTTACTGTGTTTTCTGTGAGCTGATCCACTTTCGTCTTTTGTAAATACAATATCTGATATGATTTAAAAAAGAAAAAAATACGTATTTTTATCTGTGATAAACTAACATTTATTTTAGAATACTTTTCATCTCTTAAATACATTCATTCTCTAGATCTTATTTTTATAAACATGATATTTCATTAAAGACATAGACCTCTTTTGTGTTCCTCTCCATCTTCTTTCCATATAGCGGTATACTTCCCCGAATCTTCTTTTGTTGTGTTGAAAACGTACAGATATACATGTCTATCACTGACATTCTTTCCGTGACAAATGGATAAGTATTTCTCATTGTCGTACACACAATCTATATTCACGCCGTCTTTTAGCCACCGTATGGTATCGTCATCTGGGGGATGATGTGTTATCACTCGAATATGTAAATTATTGCCCTCCTCTTGCACTGGTAATAAAAATGCGCACTTTTTTCTATAGACGATACATATTAAAACTAGTATGCTTTGTAATCACGTCATTCACTTAATTGAAGGTTGAATTATTTATCATTAAGTTAAAGCATATATTTTATCTGATTAATTCGTGTAAGAAAAATTCGATGAAATATGCTAGAGTTTGTAATTTTTCAACACAGTTATTTTTTTAGAGCGGTAAAAGTAATCAGAAGCTTCTAAAACAATCCTTGTGCTCCAAAGAAATACTTAAGCCTTTGTTGATTCAATAAAAATATGAAATAAGAAACATTTTTGTATCAATTAAACTTAATGCTCATGCTCTAAAAGATAGTGTATTTCAAAAAGATATACAGAGATAAAAGAAACTTTATAGTTTCCGTAATACAATTATATTGTTTCCTACCTTCCAAATCAGGACTACCTTCCACATCAGGATGATGATGATGAGGAGGAGCCCAATGTGTCTCTAAAAGTTTGAAAGAAATTAGATAATAATACAATAAAACATAAATCTATAAAGCTCTTTGTATAAGATATAAAAATAGAACAAATAACAAAAAAATTATATATCAAATATAAATCAAAAGTGCTGAACACTAAAACGACAATAAATATAATTAAAGAGAATAATTATGAATAATTAGTCAAACATGTATGTGTTTAAAATAATTTTATTAAAATTATAAAACTCAAAATCAAGGTCGAAGGGTCAACGTTCTTCGTTTTCAATGAAAGGTCTAGTCACAAGGATTAAATATTTGAAGTATGAAAGCTAAAACCTTCAAAAGTTTTGTTTATGGTTTATTTTTAAAAATGAGGTCATACTCAAAAATTGAAGTCAAAGGGTCAAAGTGTGAAAAATATGAAAGCCATAACACTTGCCGTTCTAAAGTTGTGGCCGATGTTAAAGGTTTTTTTTTAAGTTTTTTAAATCTTTAAGTTCAAGATCAAAAGGTCAAAATTGTTCATATAAAATGGAAAGTCTTTTCATGAAAATTACATATATAAAGTATGAAAGTCTTAGTATCTAACATTCACAAGTTATGGGCTTACTTATGGCGAAGGAAAATTTTGGAATTTTTGTGTAAAAGTATGTTAAACTCAAAGGTCAAAAGGTCACATTTGGTTGTACACACGAAAGTTCGTGTCACAAGAAATATACACGTTAAATATGAAAGTCATAGTTTCACTAAAATAAAATTATGGACAATGTTAAAGTTTTACATGTAACAGACAAACAAAAATGCTAAGAGACATAGAAAAACAGATGGGCGGACGAACTATATACCCCGAAATTCGATTACGTGGCCATGAATATATGTATAAGATCTACATGGATAAATTTTTGGAGATTTGTTGGTAACATTAATGGGTCCAGTATTTCAAAACTTCAAGCTTTTCTTTAAAAATGTATCCTGAAATGTCTTCTGACGAAACGATTTCGTACTGTACATGAAATTTTTGTCTTTAAACATTCAAATGGAAATTCATAGATGTATTCCTTCCCTAAAAAAGTGCCAAATTCATTAAATGTGAAAAAATTAAAATGACCAAATAAATTTTGTCATAAAGAATAGAAGTTGATATCGTAAGAACTGTCTGTTAAAACCTGGATAATAAGAAACAGTGGATTAAGAATGGAAACATGAGCTTGTATTACCCTAGTGGTGAGAAGTGAAAGAAAAATGTTATGAATAACTCTTACTTATCAAAGATGATTACTACAATTCTAAAGTAATTAAACAATAGTTAACAGCGCTTTCCTTAAAAACATTTCAACTTACTTCCATCTTGTGAATGTCTTCTCTTTTTTTCAGTTTCTGAAAAGATAAATATTTCACTTTGTGCCTCAAAGTAATGATAACGAGCAAGAATCCAATTTATGATTTCTCAATAAGCCGTAAAGTTATTTAAGTATTCTAGCTATATTTAAAGATCGAGGTTGCCTTGCAATATAAAATTGACCCTGTATTATTCGTTACTATGAAAGTGCTGCAAGGCAATAACAATGAGCTTTTTTAGTTAAAATTCCATGCAAAACAAAATTACAAAAATGTGTTTTTTCTATTACAGTTTCATTTATGACTTCCTAAATGATAATGTTGAATCATGAACTTGTGCATGTTCCAATATATTATGAAAAGAAGCAGAATAAATCAAGTTTCCTGTGGATTTTATTATCAAATAATGTTTTATATATAGAACACATATGTACAGACCATAAAGAATTATATAAATGTTTTTGTTTTTTTTAAAATCCTTTGCACAAAATACCCAGAAAATAAAGTAGGCGAAGGCTAGGACTAATTAAAAAGCATATGAAGGAGTTGTTTTGGGGCTTTTTTTCTGTTAAAAGCTGTAACGAAAAACAAATTAATTACATCATATTTCAAAATGGTTCGCCTTCACGCCGTATTCTTTCATGATTGTTTTATTACACTGATCTACTCAATTCATCTCTAAACAACAAATTTCATAATTCCAATCATAATAGAGATAGATTTTCGGTATCCTTTTAAGGATATATATAGGAGGTAGGAATTATTGCTGTGTTTTATTCGTTTAAATATGTTTAAATTATTATTCATCTGCATATTAAAGGAGTGCATAGGTTGTTCCAAACTTTGCAAGATAAGTCCAAAAATGTCTTAATCAAACTGATAATGAGAAAAAAAAGGCAATAAGGAAAATTCGTTAAATCTCATTAAAATTGCAACAACATTACTTGAACTAAACTGAATTTACTGTACCATGTGAAATAAGTCCTATTTCTTCCGTTCCTAAGTTTGGTTCAAACCGTCTTCTTATTTTTTCCCGCCTTTTTTTGTAAAACACGACAACCAATAACAGGAAAACTATGACAGCAAAGATACACAGAAATACTGCAACTAATCCACTTGAAATACCATCATCGCCTGATGTTGGAGGTTTAGTGGTAGAAGAACTGTTCAAAATGATGTATGGTACAGTCGTTGTATTTGGTGCATAAGACTCATATGTAGGTGCATGAGTCCTTGTAGAAGAGCTTAAATAAAAAAAATGTTATTAATGTTATAAACAAATAATAGAATAATAAGACATATCAATGGTACAAAAATTGAATAAAATGTAAACACATGCTGTATTTTAAATACATGCTTTGATTATATCGTTTTCCTGGGGCGTGGAAATCGAGGGCGCAAACAGATTTGTGAAAACGATATAACCAATAGCACGAGGTATCTATGATGTAAGCAACTTGTCGCATGTCCGATGACGTAAATTAAATTGAGAGTGTCAAAATTCAATTGAAAAATATTCAGCGTGCCATAAACTTAAGACTCAATAAATTATTCATTTCAAGCAAGCTAGCTCTGCAACATGTCGGACGTTCTTAGTGAATTTGACTTTCACTTTTTAACTGAGTTTGAAGATTTTGATGATTTATCTTTGAGTCAGACACTCGACAAATATGAACTCACAGAAACAAATAGCAGGGAGTTTAACCAGATAAAGTTTGGTATTTTACCGTAACTTTCAAAATGGATTAATCTTTTGAATGACTGGGAACTGTCAACTGAATTAAATACACGTACTTTGATTTAGTTAAAGGCTAAGAAATAGCTATAACATGTTCATTTTTCTGTAGTTATGAACTTATGAATAAAATCAGTTTTTTTCTCATGACCTGATTTCTGCCTCCTTAAGGATAAATAACACAAACAAACTTTTTTCAGAAATCAGCATTATTTTTCATAGATTTACATTTAAATTGACTACCTGAATAATGTTTACAAAGTAGAGCGGGAGGATTTTATAAGATTTTGTCATAAAGTTAAAAAATTGTGTGCAAAATTTTGTATGGAATTATATAGAAGGCAAAATGAAATCTCGAATCTAAGCACCAAGGAAAACCTACGATTTCTTTATATTTCAGGGATTTATTATTTATATCAATACAAATCAAAATCAGTGAAAAAATATATATCAACCCGCGCATCCATTTTTTGTTTGTGGTAAGTACCCTTAAGCGATATATGAAGGGGCGTGGAAAGTATTATCGCATATGTGATATGGGAAATATCACCACAGAAAGATCAAAGAAAATCACCGCAGATATGCGACAAATTTTAAATACATGCTTTGATGACATTTATCAGTATCACAGATATGAATTATACCTCGATATGCACTTCGGATCGGCAAGAAAACACTTATTTTCTTTGTCTATCTGATGACATCTAGGATCTAGGTATTAGAACATTGGGAAAATATATTGGTTTGTTCTTTATATTTATATTTATTTATTTATTATAATCGTCAAACAAATTTTTTTATTAAAATGTTAATTTTTACTGTTTATTTGAACTAATGCAGCAAGTAAACAAAAAATTTTAATGACAAATTCTCAATAAGATTGAAGTTTTTCTCTTGTTCTTTGACAATCATTCAATGTATATCCATTCTTTCTGCATGCATCAACTTACACTTATATATATTGCTGCTTAAATAGTAAGAAGTAGGACAGCCCTCTGTAAAGAAATTGCATTCGTCTTGATTCAGGTATCCTGTTGTTGATAGATATAAACAATGTCCTGAAAATATAACCATTATCATATATATATGTACAATGATATAAAACTTAATTTATATAAAAAGACAAATATATTAGTTATTTAAAGGCTCTTTCACAATTGGCGCACGAGCACTTTACAACACTTTGCGATCGGAAAATTTTAGCTTCGCACGAGCTCTCGGATACATTGCACGATGTCTCGCGTTCGTTGCAAGTGTTTTAGTGGTCGCATCAAGTCTCCTCAAAATAGTCAACATGCACACTATTCAGACGCGACCAAATGCGATCCACATTTATCGCAATTCAACGCACGAATATTAGTACGAACGTCTTACAACGTTTTATGTCCTCGTAAGAGTGATGTACGATTTTTAAAGATCGTAAGATGAATCGCAGCTGTCTTTGCGTTCGTTTTGCGAACATGAGACTGTTGCTCAACATGTCTCATGTAATCTTGCAACGTTTTACTATCATTGCTTGATTAATCACCTTCAATTGCCATGCTTTGCAACAGGTATATATATACCGTGTAAAATTATAAGCATCTTAACTATGTCGACTGAAGAGCGTCGGAAACGGGTGGTATACATACTAGGCCCTCCGACTCGCACGAACTTTCGTACTATGAAATGCATGAGCGCACAAGCGCCGCACGTTCGATTGTATTGCCGCACGTTCAATCGTCCGATTAGCTGATCAGTCGTGCAATCCTATCGCATTATCTTACAACACTCGTTTCATTCCAAGGCCGTAACTAGGCTAAAATTTTTAGTGAGGCAAGGGTGTTTGGCATTCCTAGACCCCAGACGGCCAGTGATCGATAGGGTTTCCAGGGAAGGGGATCATGAAACCTGGGAATACCCTTTGATTTTCTAATATATTAGAAAATCACAGATTTAATCTTAGAAAGATTTTACGTTTTGAATTGTCGCCCACATGGCACAGTGGTTAGAGCGTATGCTCAAGAGTCGCAGACTACGGAGTTGATCCTTACATCGCGGGTTCAAAGCCCACTGCGGGATGTAGAGACCGGTCCTTTGGATGAGACCGTATAAACCGAGGTCCTATGTCTCAATAATTGAATATTAGTGTTCAATCTTCTGCAGTGACCCTGAAGGCTTGAACAGATTTAAAAGTTGCTGCTATCGGCTAGTAGTGGTGCATGTCTCAATATGAATGAGAAATTCTTAGAAGGGATGTTAAACAACCAAACAATTTACAAAACAAATATTTTGAATTATATTATGTTACATTCTAAATGAAAATGATCGAGGCACCTGGTGAGTTGAACGATTTAAAGAAATGAAAAGAAAAGTTGAAAATATTAATTTAGCACGAAGACACACATAATTCATAAGTTCAATGTAAAAAAATTTCACTTTTCAGAAAATTAAAAAAAATTTAGTGAGGCATTTGCCTCACTTGCCTCAATGGTGGTTACGGCCTTGCATTCTACAACAGTCGCATATAGACGCAAGATATATCGTAAGTTTTAATGCACAACAGTCGCTCTAGATCGCGCGAATTTCGTACGAACACTTTTTTCATATGCGAATATTTTGGTAACAGTTTACGATCCTAATCAAAATTACTCGGTAGCACGAATATTTTGTCGCTTCTGCTCGTGCGCCAATTGTGAAAGGGGCTTAAAATCTGTATTTTAACAAGATAACATGATATAAACAAATTCAAAACATTTAGTTCAAACATATTTTTTTTTTTTTTAAATTCGACAAATATTGATAGAAATTGACTTTATTAGGTCACCTGAGTCACTCAGCCTCAGGTGACCTATTGCTATCCGTTTTTGTCCGTCGTAGTGTGTTGTGTGTCGTGTATTATTTCTCAGTGGTTTATTTTAACTTTCAATGTAACGACGTCATCTTTTGTGGTCCCATCCGACTTTTTTTTGGTAAAGAGCTGATCAAACTTGATCATTTCAAGCTACTCTCAATTCAAACATTGCAGGAGCAATTTTTAAAGTAAGAATACCATTCTTTATTTATATATAAAAAATGGCTGACATCTATAAAGTGCATGCCCGTGAAAAAAAGGCGATTTAGTAAGTCACATTGATGTTAAACATGCCAAACCTGTACACATCAACACAGTAAAATTAACAGTAAAATCACACAATTCTCTCGCAAGTCATTGTATAATCGCACTTAAAAAAGGTTTTATTTGTTTAATAATAGAATGCATTTTACATTGCAAAAAAATATATATTTGATCTGCCTTTCACAGCACATAAAATACCTCTTCTTCACAAAATTGACGTCATATTGACAAGTTTGCTGCGATTAGTGATTTGTTTGTAAACTCTCTGGGATTTAACTAGCAACTATTGTAAATGCATTGATAAGTTTTTATGTTGTTTATTATGCTAATACAGTTGAAAATTGCAAAGTATTTGGTTTTGTAGTATCATGAGGAATACAGAATGTACCCAGTTTTGTGTGACGTCACAGTAAACATTTCCCGTATAACTTAGGCCCCGCCCCCTTTTTCAAGCTTGAACAATGGTGCGTATACTTACTGCATTTGCTAATAAAGAGTTCTATGATTGCAATTGACCAAGTGGCAGTGCCACTTTTTAGTTTTTAGACAGATCTATGGATAAATCCATTTACTGATTTTACAGATTTTCTGATACTAGTGCATAGAAGACAAATCTTCAAAACCTAGTTAGTGCTAATAACATTAATTTTCTCACAATTTTAAAGCAAGGCTCATATAGCATGCCTTAGCTCTTTACAAGAGCTTAAAACTATTGTCATAGTGAAATTGCGACTTTAATCTGCAATCTGCAAAATTGCAATTGCTCACTCTGTGACAGTTTTATAAGTAGATAAAGTTTTTTTTTCTTTAAAAAATAAATCACGTTTTAGAACTTTTTACCATTCTGTACGAGGCCGAAAAATTCGCCATAGCAGAATTCCAGTAGAGCTGTTTTATCTTGATTTGGAACACAGAAATAAGAAGGATTTTTATTTTCATATAATGAGCAATTCAGTCTTTCTGCTGCAGAATTACGAGAGTCGAGAGTTGATGGACAGGAATCCACACTGAACACAGGAAATCGATATTGAGCATGCGTCTATTAAAGAGAAAGTAAATGGGTAAATACTCAAAGATAAAAATAATCTTTGTTTCATTGAGGTGAAAATAAATGCGTGCATAATTCTATGATTTTGATTGTTTCGATAATTTCATCTATTGCTATTGCAAAAGTGAAAGAAGCCCGAAAAAAATGTTTGTTTGTTTTATATATTTTTATACAAGAAATTCAATATACCTCCTTGAAATTTAAGAGCAGAATAAGAATAGGAGCCAGGCTCGTCTTCATGTTAACGCGTTTGCACCTTTTATACTCTGAAAATAAAATAGGGTACAAAACAATGATAATAAAAGAAAGTTTAGTAGATAAAAGTGGATAACAACTGAAATTCAGTCAATGCATATCTGGTATTGAAGTATTGAATCAGTTTTAAATTAAAAATACACAGTGCTAATAAAATAAAACGGGGCATTCTTTTCCGTTGAAAGAAAAAAATAGATATGACACATGAAATATATCATGACATCAAAATATTATCGGTGTCAGCATGAATATTTCAAAACGAAAGTAGAACTAAATTAACTTCTCAATAAGTAATATGTGGAAAATATCTTTAAAAATATTAAGGTATTTCATAGTGAAGACTATTGTGTCAATAATTCAATAACGAATACAAGAAGATACAAAAGCTAACACCAACCATTTTGTCACGGGATCTCACTTACTCTTACAACATGCACTGTGTGTTACATACACTTATGTTCTTAACGGACACATACATCCTGTTAAAAATCAATGCCATACTTCCGGTTTTATTGTGACATTAAGTTCTATTTTTACTTTTTGTATTACAAGTGTAACATTGCTATTACATACGCTTCATATGACATGTTTTGACTTAGTTTAAAAAGTTAAATAAATAACGGATAATGAAGACAAAATAATTGATAATGTATAGTTAGAGAGGATAGGTATACTCCCCTAAAAATTCCCTCAGATTTAATGATCACCTTAGTTTCTATTTTTTTTTTAAATCTATTTCAGGTTTGGTTGGGTAAAAAAATAAACGAGAATTGAACTAAACCCCCAATTGTTTAATATAAGATTGATGGGCAAATCATGCCCAATACTGCTTTCTTTTTAAATGCTGAAAGAAAATATTTAAAGGCGCAATTTTTACAGAAATTGATTGAAAATCTTGAAACATGATACCTATAATGTATTTAATATGTACAGTAAGAGTTAAACCTGAAATAAACATGTTCCATGGAAATCAATATGAATTGTTACAAATATTCATGTCATATTCATGTCATTGCTACAAATATTCATGTCATATAGATGTCTTGATATTGAAAGAAAAATAACTCTTCACTATTGTTAGACTCTCTCTAGTCTCTATGTTTTATTGCTCTCTTTTATACTTTTTGATAATGTCAAACATAGATAACATTTAATTATGACAGCGAGCAGAGAAAAGGAATACAAATAAGAACAAAGTATTTGTAAAAATATTTGTAAAAAATAAACAATAAAAACATAGAGACTTGAGCATGTCTACACAATTGTAAAAGATATAAGAAATGCCAAACACTTAAGAATTATTTCTCATTATGGTATGGCAAATATATTATATCTGATTGACGGACAAAAAACATTTTTTTTTTACCTGGAACCTACCGGTTTCCGTAGGAAACATATAAACAAATTATTATCATAAGATAAGGACGTTGAATTATTTTTTCCCTATAGGAAGGTATTATAGTACAAGTGACATGCTTCACAAACCAAAACATATCTGATCTTGGAGGGGTCCTTCTTAAAAAAAAAAACTTTTAATTCAAGCATATTCTATTCATTTCTTTTCTGAGCTGAGTTTAATAAATACATGTAGCATGTGGTGTTCTATTTGACTTCACAAAATGATCGTTTCATTGCTTTATCAATGAATGCTGAAATGTCATTTATATTTATGTTATACATGTTGTTCAAATACTTTGATTAATATATATACATATTTTCTTCTGAATAACATATCAAAACACAAGTTTTGTGTGAGTTGTCATTTATTGAAAACGTGGTATTGTAAACACGGAAGTAATTTTTGTTGTATAGCTAGGATTAAAGTCAATTTATCCATAGTAAAGTGAGGTTATCCGAATTCAAAATTGTTGAAAATTTTATTTCAACATAGATAAGATATATCATGTACATGTTCAGTATGTACACTGTATTTTGTATAATCCGACTTAACTCAATATGAGTTAAGTCCCGTTATGGAGACAAATAGAGATAAAAAGTTCAGGGAAGATAACTCTCACTCAAATGCACTGACTTCATTTAGCCACATCCATTACGCATGTGCATTTGCTCTTCCTTTCCATCTTCCGTCATCCATTGAAGCTCAGCATCGAGTTTAGTCTCAACAATATTCATCTTCATCTTGTGTTCCTTTGACTGTCCAACGTCGGAAATATGAACATAATCAGTGCAAATAAATCCTGGACTAAACGCCCATCCATATTACCCGATGTGTGAATAATATCATGGCATATCTAAAGTATCAACATCCCCAACGACGATATTAACCACGTGTGCAGCAACCATCGCAGTAGATGAACTCTTGTTTGTGAACTTGACCTCAGTGTATCAATACCTTGGTGAAATCAAACCAACTTTTCGTTGTTATTAAAATCAACGTTTACAAATGGTGCCCACATACATTGGACTTTACCAATAGCCGCCATGCAGTGATCACGTGCCTGTTGGATCCACCACGACATAGATCGGTGTCACATATCATCGGGTTCGGACTGCAAAATATTCCATCCATCATGGCTTCCGTGTAAACATGTGTTGGTAAAATTGTTTTAATTTTTAAGTGCAGTCAAGTCACAGAACGATAAGTAAGAGGAGGTCAAATCCCAGAATGATAGGTAAGAGATCAAATCACAGAATGATAAGAAAGAGGTAAAATAACAGAATGATAAGTAAGAGATCAAATCACAGAATGATAAGTAAGAGATCAAATCACAGAATGATAAGTAAGAGGTTAAATCACAGAATGATAAGTAAGAGATCAAATCACAGAATGATAAGTAAGAGGTCAAATCACAGAATGATAAGTAAGGGGTTAAATCACAGAATGATAAGTAAGAGGTCATATCACAAAATGATAAGTAAGAGGTCAAATCACAGAATGATAAGTAAGAGATCAAATCACAAAATGATAAGTAAGAGATCAAATCACAGAAGGATAAGGAAGAGGTCAAATCACAGAAGGATAAGTAAGAGATCAAATCACAGAATGATAAGTAAGAGATCAAATCACAGAATGATAAGTAAGAGGTCAAATCCCAGAATGATAAGTAAGAGGTCAAATCACAGAATGATAAGTAAGAGATCAAATCACAGAATGATAAGTAAGAGATCAAATCACAGAATGATAAGTAAGAGGTCAAATCACAGAATGATAAGTAAGAGATCAAATCACAGAATGATAAGTAAGAGATCAAATCACAGAATGATAAGTAAGAGGTCAAATCACAGAATGATAAGTAAGATATCAAATCACAGAATGATAAGTAAGAGGTCAAATCACAGAATGATAAGTAAGAGATCAAATCACAGAATGATAAGTAAGAGGTCAAATCACAGAATGATAAGTAAGGGGAGGTCAAACCACAGATTGATAAGTAAGAGGTCAAATCACAAAATGATTAGTAAGAGGTCAAATCACAGAATGATAATTAAGTGATCAAATCACAGAGTGATAAGTAAGAGATCAAATCACAGAATGATAAGGAAGAGGTCAAATCACAGAATGATAAGTAAGAGATTAAATCACAGGATGATAAGTAAGAGATCAAATCACAAAATGATAAGTAAGAGATCAAATCACAGAATGATAAGTAAGAGGTCAAATCATAGAATGATAAGTAAGAGATCAAATCACAGAATGATAAGTAAGAGGTCAAATCACAGAATGATAAGTAAGAGATCAAATCACAGAATGATAAGTAAGAGGTCAAATCACAGAATGATAAGTAAGGGGAGGTCAAACCACAGAATGATAAGTAAGAGGTCAAATCACAAAATGATAAGTAAGAGGTCAAATCACAGAATGATAATTAAGAGATCAAATCACAGAATGATAAGTAAGAGATCAAATCACAGAATGATAAGTAAGAGGTCAAATCACAGAATGATAAGTAAGAGGTCAAATCACAGAATGATAAGTAAGAGATCAAATCACAGAATGATAAGTAAGAGATCAAATCACAGAATGATAAGTAAGAGGTCAAATCACAGAATGATAAGTAAGAGGTCAAATCACAGAATGACTGTGAATGAACCTTAAGAAAGACATTTTCTGCGCATTCAACCATAGTGGCATGTATCACTTTGTTAATTTAACTGTTAATATTTACTTGCCATTTAATTGAAATAGTTTGTGCATCAATTAGCTGATCTCTTGACAGTCTTGTAAATATTTACACTTGTGCTTGTCTTGATATATGCTATTTATTCAATGTTTATTTATTTAATTTTGCATTGACATCACCTAATATTTACTTGCCATTTAATTGAATTATTTTGTGCATCAATCAGCTGATCTCTTGACAGTCTTGTAAATTTTTATACTTGTGCTTGTCCTGATATATGCTATTTATTCAACGTTTATTTATTTATTTTTGCATTGACATCACCTCGATCATCACCACCATTGTTTGTGCCTCCATGTTTTACACTGGTTGAGAAATATTTTTGAAGTAAGAGTCACAGATCAGGGAGTGTGAGAGTTTTCAGATTAACAAGAGGTAAAGCTATGACTGATTGAGAAGGGAAGCATCTACAGATCAGGTTCATATACCATATATTTGGTAAGATTTGGGTTTAGTGAAGTTTGTGTATATTGTGATGTCTATATGTGTTGTAAATAGAATTTCATTTGGATACTATAAAAGGAAATGTTCATAGTGAAAAGTAAAGTATTTTATGATGATGAATTTGCATAATATAATGCATGAAATGTTATTTTTACAATCCTTAAAAGTTACGAGGAAAATGGAATTATTTTCTTGAGCAAAATATTCAGTGTCCAACATTTACAAGTGAATGCTCCTTGGGTGTTCAATGACGATGTCTTATTTTTGGGAAAATTTCATCTAAATTCCATTTGATTGTCAGTTAGTAGGTGACAAAAATAAATAAATAACTAAATAGATAAAATAATAAATAAATAAAATAAAATAAACGAATAAATTCCAAGGATTCCTTATAGAGTGTTAGAACTACTTAAACATTTCAACAAACTTGTCAGGAAATAAGAATTCCAATTAATGCAGATTAATACTGAAGGCCCAACCACTTATTTGAAATAAAATAAATAAAGAAATAAATTCCAAGGATTCCTTAGAGTCTTAGAAACTACCTAAACATTTCAACAAAATTGTCAGCAAATAGAAATTCCAATTAATTCAGATTAAAATTGTAGGCAACACAATGTATTTAACATAAAATAAATAAATGAATGAATAAATTTCAAGGATTCCTTAGAGTGTTAGAAACTACCTAAACACTAACAAACTTGTCAGGAAATAGAAATCTCAATTACCGGTAATTCAGGTTATAATTGAAGGTCCAACCACTAATTTAACATCTCTTGTTCTAGTTAAAAATTCCACAAGCCAAGTTGAAGTTCAAGGTCAATTTATTCACTCAAACCATATAAGTGGTACATGAGGTTCAACAATATATGTACAATATATACAAAAAATAATATACAAGA